GACGCTCTTCCGATCTCCCCAAAACCCCAAAACCCCAAAACCCCATACGTTTAAATACTAATTGCTTTCTCATTTAACAAAAAATAATCTTAATAGAACTCTCAATTATATATCAAATTATTTACACGATGAGGCAACCTGGTTTGCAGCAAGACTACTGGGGCTACTGGAAATTTTTCATTTATCCTCTTTTACTGTGATTTGTCTTTGGAGAGCTCATTGAAGTATTTTTCAGAGAACTTTTGTCTCTTGGTCTCGAACCAAAACCTACTATACTTGTGCCTTCAATTTTGTTGTCAATTAAGCTGCCCATCACTGTTTGCTAGTTAATATCCTCATAAGTCGAAAGTGGATTATACTATGTATAATTTTGCAGCCCACTTTGTTAATTAGATCCCATTCCATATTAGATTTGCTGTTATTGAGTGTCTTTTATCATAAATACTCTATCAAATAGGATGTTATTCTATTCATAGATGTTGTCATCACTATGTTCTTAGTTTTCAAATTCATTATCCACTACCTCAAATTCCTCAATTACATCGTCCACGGGCTGATAATTGCTTATTAGCATACTTCGCTTTGTCTCATTTTTTAATGGCATAGCCTATGATCTACTAACAGCATTCTTAATTCTCTAATTGTAAATGCTTTCCTTGACTTTAACTATCTAGTCAGTTTTGTGCTCCAACATATGTCTCTCTTTTTCGATTCCTATTTCTAATTCCTTCATTAATGACTTTAAATTCGTAATTTCCTCATTCTTTAGCTCTAAATCCTAGGATTTCAGTTTTAGTTTTAACTTCATGTCACTTATATCATCCTAGTACTTGTCTTCTTGAAGCTCTATTTCATCCAATTATGCCTAGATCGCTCTTTCAAATTAGATATAATTGTTATGATTCTTAGTCAATTTATCTTTGAGACCCTAAAGCTTCTCAGATTTCTAAGCATATTCTTCATTTAATTCTGTCACTTAAGAATAATGATAGTCTATTAATTCGTCTTATTGTTCAATTCTAGTGGAATGATGGGAGTAATTGCTATAGAGAATGAATTTTCTATCGCATATTTTGCAAATGCTTCCTTGTGCTCGCTTAGAGCCTATCTTAATTTTAGAGTTAGGAAATGTCCTCGTTTTATGCATACATTCATGACAAGCTCTCTCCCCGCAAAATTCACTTATAATTTAATAAAACTTAATGAGGTTACCAAAAATGTGAGTGCTTTTACTTCAATAAATCCTTTTCGCATACCTTACATTGATTCGATTGCTTACTTTCATTAATTGGACCAGAAAGCGAGAAAATCCTGTCTTTCAAATTGAAAATTACCTTTTTATCGCCTAGATGACAAAATTACTATTATTGAATAAAGACTTACCAATGTTAATTTGATATTATTGCTTCATCTAAGAGTTTAAGTAATCCCCTACAAGTTCACTCAAATTCTCACTCTGATTTAATCCTTTTATAGATTTTTCTTTATTCGGATCATATGAATGATTTCTCTATCTCTAGTCTTTGTTATATGAATTTGAGCCTTTTCTTTTCCATATTTAGTCCACATCTAATAATTGTTATTTCTATGGATGGTTTCTTACTATCAATACTTGCTTTACCTTTTGCCATAGGAGACTTATGATTTAAATTGACTTCAATTGATTTTTGGAAGTTCTTAAATATTTACGAGGAAAAGTCTTTATTAACTTTATCGAATGACGATTAGGATCTCATTTCTGCTTTAATTAAGTTTATTTATGTTTTTGGATTCCATCTAAATAATTGATAATGTGCTGTTGGGGTTTTGGGGTTTTGGGGTTTTGGGGTTTTGGGGTTTTGGGGTTTTGG